ATTTTCCTTGTTTTTCAACCCTGCATCAGACCCCAAACCCTGATTTTTAAATTCTAACAACCCCCAAACATATCATATAATAACGTGCATGAATCAAAGGACAATTAACACAACACAACATCAAAATCAACAACATCATATCAATTCATCATGCTTTTCATCAACATATGAACATCACCATCTCCTATACTTTCATGACATTCAATCACACAATTCACAGTAAGGCATCACATAACATGATTAACACATATAAAATCAACAATACATCAATCTAATTGTAGAAACCTCATACAATTCACAAACCTCAATAATAGAGGACAAGAGAAAAAGGAAAGAAGAAATGGGTAAGGATTCCATCTATCCTACAAAGTTAAACACCCTTATCATCAACAATCTTCCCTTACCTAAAAATTTGCAAAAAAAACTCCAAACTTGACAGTGGATTCTCCTCCTCCTCACTCTTGTTCTGCCAGGACTTTTTCTCCTTTCTTGCTTTGTTCTCACCAAATTCACATATTATGATTTTCTATTCCATTCCTTTTTATTTTTATTTTAAACAAAAAATATAATTTTATTTGTTAGTATTTTTATTTCTCCTCCTTAATCATGATAATTCTCTCATTGTCCCACTACTTATTTTATTATTCTATTTTCCACCTCATATCTCACTATTTTATATTTTATCAAAATTTCTATTATTTTAATTAATACAAAAATAGTGATAAATAATATAAATTATACCAAATCTCGACTAACCCCACAAAATACACAGAGCACTCCAACAAATCATATAAACATATTTAACGCAATAAAATTAATTAATTTAGAAACTGAGGTTTTACAACCCTCATACCTATGGACAAGCTGAAGCCCCCAACAAAATGTTGTTAAAAGGGCTGGAAAGAAACTCTAAGAATCAAAAGGAAATTTGTTTTGAACTCCCACATGTTCTCTGGGCATATTAAACAACTACTCATTCAACAACCAGCTAGACCCCTTTCAGGCTCACCTACAACACCAAGGTCATCATCCTAGTTTAAGTTGGGAAACTCGAGTGGAGAATAACACATCTTTTGCAAGAGGGAAGCAATTCTCAAGCCATTAGAGAAGAGTTGAATCTTTTAGACGAAAAGAGATGTTTCATTGTTCTCAGGGGTGTCTTCGTCAAGAAAGTCACTACCACCAAGTACAACAAAAAGGTATAAATCTGAAGTTTCCAACTCGGTGATCTCTTACTTCGTAAAGCTGATGTTGAAGGGAAGAATGCTAGCGAAGGAAAATTTGATACTAAATAGGAAGGACTATATTGAGTCTGAGCTTGTATGGGAACATGAGCTTACACCCTTAAAATCCTTTATAGAAAACTCATCCCAATAACCTAGAATGCTACGAAATTAAAGCACTATTACAACTTAGTTGTTTCTTTTTTAAAAATAAATAGAGTTTTTAAATAAATACAATTGATTATGACTTTTTCAATAATTTAATTGATCAATTAACCTACTGATGGGCTAAAGACGTGTCTACTTATGCGTCTAGCGGTATCTTACTGCAAGTGCACAGCCTATCGAAGTAATATTTAAGATTATCGATCCACAGGGATTCTATCGTTACTTAGTGCTAGATGAACTTCTAGTTTAGCTAAGGCGAATAGTTGTCACGATTGTTGTTGGTTTTCTAAGACTATTGAAGGCGGAATTAAATTTAAGTTTTTAATAAAATAATACTAAGACGGTCGGTATGTAATTATACTAACTTAGGTGGGTCAATCTAACCTAGGCTTATAAAGATGTTCACTTAATCTATTCGGTAGAGATTACTAGTTTAAATACCCTCAGCTCACACTCTCGTGGTCTTGAATCAGATCTTATCCCTAAAGCCCTATGCCTGCTCTCGCTAGCCCATAAGTGTTTAGAGGTAATTTTTGGAAACTAAATAATTCTAAGTTATCTTAAAGCGCTCTCGCTGTATTTAATTTAAATGCCTAACTTTAGCTATCTGGTTAAGATCTCACACTCTCGTGGTCTTGACCCAACCTAATACCCTTTTCTTACTCTCGTAACGAAAAGGTCGAATTCAATTAAAAAGCATCAGCCAGAATGTTAAGTGATTAATTATTTTAGCCCATGGTTATATTTTACCGGTTAAGTTGGTTATAACTACATACCGCCCTAAGGTGTTTAGCTACTCATCGAGGTTGAATCAGACACAGAGTTAAATAATAACTTACTAATGGCAGAAAAATAAATAGACATTATAAATAAATTAAATTGCAATAATTGAAAAACCTGATTAACAAATATCTGAGTAGACTCCTTCTTCCACAGACCGGAAGGCTTGGAGTAGGCGGAAATAAAAATTAAAACGAATGCTGAAGGCTGGAAACAAATAAAAGTATAACAATTCCCTAATGTTGGAAATTGTTACACGGTTGGTTTGGATACAAATAAAACAAGACAGGAAATAAAATAATGCTGGAATAATAATTCTGGTGGTAAGGTAATTCGGCAGAGCTTCCGCAAGAAATTTGGATAATGAAGTCTGTCCCTGAGTTCTCCTGAGTTGGTACTATTTATAGAGCTTCCAATGGGCTGGTGCCTTGGTCTTTTTCTTCTTGGGCTTTGCTGAAGTGGTTGAGAGAATGTTGGAAAGTGGCAGCAAAAATGGGAGAAGTCGTCCTCACGTGCTGCCTTGAGGAGAATTACTAGGAGGAGTGGTCTTTAGTGGTGGCTGGACGTAGTCTGAGTCAAAACCAAGTTTTATCCTTGTCACGGGCGTGACAAGGTCTTCACGCTCGTTATTTGATGATTTCAAGTGTCACGGTCGTGACTGCTTCCTCACGGTCGTGATGGCCCAAAGTAAGGTGTCACGGTCGTGACACCCTTGTAACGACCGTGGCCGTAACAAATTATGCAGACTTTTTGCAGGCTTCTGTCTTGCTTCATTTCTTGTGGTTTCTTTCGTTCCTTTCTTCTTAATTCATGATTCGGCCTCACATAACGATGTACCTGCAAAATAGTAAGAAAAACTCGAGAAATCGAGCGTCAAAACGGTGAATGCGCGATAAAACGTCAATGAAATCTAGCGATATAATCGATGCGTTTTCTCGTCATCACCTACTTAAAATTCTATTTCATTTTTTTTTATTATAAAGAAAACCAAAATCTAAAGAGAAAAAACTACACAAACACTAACCTAAGAGTGGGAACATCCACCAAATCCATCTCTAGGTGGGGTTCATTTAAACATACATAACCAAACAATGATATTAATATATAAATAGCCTATTTTATGGTTTATTTAATGTCATAAATTTTATGAAATTATTTGTTCGAGAAAATCTATAAAAAAAAACAACTTATTTAATTGTCTACAAGATGTTTTCAATTTGTTTTTTCAATAAGTTTTTAAGGTAATAAAACTTTACTTTGATATCGTTTTTTAAAATCCGATTATATAAAATATCATGTTTTAATTTATTATAATATATTTAAATCCAAATAAAAAAATTTACAGTAATAAATTTAAATTACCTAAATGAGTTAATAAATTTATATTTTAACTAAAAGTAAATGGTCACTTTACATGTACATACATCTCAACTTGTTTTATCTCATTAACTCATTAACTCTCCATATTCCACATAGGAAGTTTCATTAGAACCTTCTTATCTTTTGTATTAAGATGAAAAATGAAAGATTCCAAAAGTAAAACCAGTTTAAACAAATGCTGCTGCATTAACCTAATATCTTTTGTCCATGTATGAAAGCATCTATCTACTACATGAAGTGAAAACACACACACACACACACGAGGAACAAGAAAAGAAGAACTAAAAAAAGATCAAAATTACTTTTCCATATTTTCCTCCACAAATCTAGTTTTATTAGTATTACTATGATAAAAGAATCCTATAGAGTTGTCTTGTGAATGGGGTTTCACCATTGACTTTGTAATAAAAACAGACAAAGATTCGATAACGAGGACACAAAAGTGCTTCCTTCTTACTTTTGTTTCACAAGGGTCAGCTGCAACAAAACCACACTTTGACAATTTTCACTTTCTCTTTCTTTTATGCAACACTACTGCATTATTAAACTATTGTTCCATTCCATTCCACCACTTCTTTTGTTTTCTTTCAACCGAATCCAAAGCTCCTCTTACCATAGTCAACTTCTTGTGTGAAAATCCGTTGACATTTCCGAATCTAATGTAACACCACTCACACGTGTGTCTCTTGTGTGTGCGTGTGTCTTTGTGTTGTGAGTACACTACTGTCAAAGTGTCAACTATCCATTGTTGTTAACATTAATATTATAAAAACTCATTCTAACGAAGCTTCCTCTCTCTTGAGTTGAGGTTCTCACTTTCTCTTTTTCACTTTTTTGAGATTTTCATCCTTCAACATAAACCCCATTTTCATTCATTCCTTCATCTCATCTTGCATCTGAACTACCTTCACTTCTCTCTTTCTTTCAGGTACCTTTCTCTTCTTACTTTGATTCATCTTGTTCTTCTTGAATTTGAATATGTGTTTCTTTGAGTGAGTTTTTAGAGTGTTATTTGGAATTGTGAGTTTATTTTGAGGGTTTCTGGTAAAAGGGGTGAAAAAATTTCTTCTGTTTGCATTTGAAGTTTCAAGGTTAATGTTTGCTTTTGAAGAATAGTTTCTTTAGGTTGAAGGTTTTTTTTTAACAGTTATATAAAGTTTTGATTTTTAATCTGTTAGCATAGTGAATGAAGTTTGCAATTTTTGTTGCAAGATTAAAAGGGGTTGGAGAATGAAAGGGAAAGTTTTGACCTTTTTCATGGTTACCCTTTTTCCGATGTATTTATATGTTTATGTAAAAGTCATTATTATTCACATCAATTGGTTTTTATGTTGGTATTGATTATGAAAAATGGAAAAAGAATTGATTTTTATTGGTTACATCTTGCTTAGCTATTAACTAATAGTTGCTTTGTTTCTTTCTGCAGTTGTTTGCTTCAATTTGCTGTCAATGGCACATAGTTTGAAAAGAAAGTCTCCAGAAAATGGAGACAATCTACTCTTTGACAGCTTCTCGCTTGATGATTTGAATGAAGATCTATTTGAAAGGGTTCTGTCGTGGCTACCGACTTCGGCTTTTTTCCGCCTTACTTCTGTCTGCAAAAGATGGAAATCAGCTGCTGCTTCTGTGAGTTTCAAGCTTGCTTGCTCAAATGTCCCTTCAAGGGATCCTTGGTTTTTCATGGTTGCCCCGAGTCTTAACCAATCGGTTATTTTTGACTCGGCTGAAAACAGTTGGAAAAGACTCAATCATCCAAATCTTTTGCTCGAAGATTCCAACAAAAGTTGCATACCTGTTGCAGCCTCTAATGGCCTAGTTTGCTACCGCACGTCGTTGGGGAACTTCATTGTGTCCAATCCCGTGACCGGGTCTTGTTGCGAACTTCCTCCGTTGAATCTCAACTCAGAAAACCAATCTCTCAATGCTGTGGTTATGAGTGCTTCTTTCAATGACCAAATGTCCTACAAGATTGTGTTGGTCTTTGGTGAACTACCAAATCTTTCGTTTAAAGTCTATAACTCTAACTCGGCCTGTTGGGAAGACGAGAATGATCTTGGGAGGAAGGTCGATGATAGCTCTTCGGATTGTGATTCGACTGACGACAATGTTGTTTACTTCCTTAGCAAGGCTGGAAACGTGGTGGCAAGTAGCATGCAGAGAAGTCCAACCAAACAATATTCATCGGTCATTACTAACAAAGACGGCCAGGAGATAGTCTATTTTCTGAGCTCCTCCGGAACTGTTGTGGCTTGCAATTTGACTTGCAAATCTTTCATGGAATACCCTAGGTTGTTACCTGTTTTCTGCGAGTACTCTATCGACATTGTAGAGTGTAACGGTGAGATGCTAGTTGTTTTGCTATCAGAATTCTTGGAAAGCACGAGTCTTCGTGTGTGGAAATTCGACGAGGCTAACCGTTGCTGGCAACAGATTGCAGCAATGCCTGCCTCAATGTCTCACGAATGGTACGGAAAGAAGCCGGATATCAACTGTGTTGGTGCCGGTTCTCGGATTTTTATATGCTTGAACTCTCCCGAGCTATGCACTTATGTTACATGTGATTTGGCGACCAACAAATGGGTTGAATTGCCAAAATGTTGCATCAATGGAGAAGTCACGGAGTTCATGTCTGCTTTTTCGTTCGAGCCGAGGATAGAGGCTTCTGTGTGACCGCGAAACGGCCTAGTCCAGTATCTTGATTTTGGTTATGAACCCTTTTTTATGTTCTGTTTGGTTTAATGTTAATTTGATTTGTACTTGACTTTTATTCATGCAAAATAGCTAGAAATGGAAGCTAACCAAATGATTTGATTGTTGACAGATTGATTTATGTTGTAATTTTGTTACTGGTATTATCAATGAATGATCTTCAAAATATATCTATCCATAACTAATGAAACTCTTACTTTTAAGGAACTCTTCCTACTCAAGAGTTGCATTAATCCAAACTTATTTGACACAATTATATCCCTCTTTTAAAGTCTAATCTATTTTGGAGAACTGTTCACAAAAAATATATTACTGATGAAAATGTGACTATTCATATTTTGAGACTCTAAGATGCTTTGCATCTTATATTGTCATTTCAACACCAGGTATCTAGTTGGCTGGTGCTATGCTATCTATTGAAATATGAACTAGATATAAGAAAAGTTAGAAAGTTTTTTTGGTTAAATCTAATTTTCAGGTGTCTAATTGATTTCTATTGTTTTAATGGTTCAACTATCTCTCCTATTTGTAATCTAATGGTTGATACATCAACATAAAACAATGATTCACAAGAGACAAATAAATAAAGCAAATGAATGGACAGGATTGGAACATGATGGAAGTGCGAGAGAAACATCCAGATAATCCACATTCTTAGTATTTTATATCTCTAACCGCTAACAATGTTAGCCTTTGAATAAGAATGAATTTTTTTTATGCAAGAAGAACGAAGATTAGTAAGTTTTATATATGTTAAACATATAAAATAGTGTATTTCATGATATGTCACATGTTTAAAACATTTGGGAAATTTTCTGTCTCTTTCAAATCACCAGATAAATTTGAGTAGAACTCTTAAAATGGGTTACTCGACTTTTACCGATCACAAACTTTTTTAAATTAGGATAAAACAACTCTATTATAATATGAGCTCGAAAATTATTACTCGAGTGCGACCCGACCTTAAACAGGCTTTTTAAAATAAAAAATCTCATAATATTTATTATAAATAAAATTAAAAATTATATTAAACATAATACAATTTTAAGGACTAGATTATCTTTTATAAATATTATAATGTGTTTTTAAATATTACACATGCCTAAATTGTATAAATAATAATCAAATATTTAAGATAAGAGAAACTAATAAAATACGAGTAAATAATATTGATTATATTAATGTATAAGATTTAAAAGAGAAATATTAAATATAATAGAGATAAAATTTAGTGAGATGAAAAAAATCAACATGTTATTTTAAAGTAAGACAATATAAATATTAATATATATATTTTTTAATTTATAGCTATACGTGCCTAATGGACTATCTACGACCCATATGGGCTAATCCTAATGGATATCAGGGGTGTGCTAAAAAAATCTTGAAAAATATGAATTCTAATTTTAAGGCTCAAACACTATGATTTTTCGGACCGGCTAGGGCGGCCCATACGGGCTAGTCCATTTTGATAACTCTAGGTTTAAGGGTGGGCGGGAGACAAATATAAATATCTCAACTTTGTAAAAAACTTGTGATACCTAAAAACAATTCAATATATTTTGTTAAAATACTAACTTTGTAAATATTTATGCACATTAATTGATATATATTGACTATATAAAAATATTGGTTTAATACATGTTTTAGTCCCTTAATTTAATTTAATGTTTCACTTTAGTTCCTTATCTAAAAAATATTACATGTTAGCCCCTTAAAAACACTTTTGTTAGCTGATTTGGTCATTCCCGTCAAATTTTGTAAAAAATCGTTAAGTTTTGAAGACGTAACAAACTAGTTGAATATATTTATCTGACATGACCTTTTTTTTTTGTTTTTTGAAATATATTATTATGAATGGTAATAATAATTAGTCATAAAATGAAGTAACCTTATTTGTTCATAATCAAAAGAGACGAAGAGAATACGAAGTGAGATAGACGAAGAAACCCAAAATTTTCCAGGAAGACGAAAATCCTTCTTCTAAAGTGTGAGGATAAACGAAAAATCCTTGTTCTTATGTGTTGAGATAGACAAAAATCTTTGTTCTAAAGTGTGAAAACTAAGGGAGGCGTAAATCATAGAAATCTCAAAAGTGGAAGACGTTCGAAGAGAGACATTGTTCATTTCCATTTTTCATAAGATACATTTAAAGCATGTTTACTTTATGTTTTTTTGTAGCTTAACATTTTTATAACATGTTTAGTTTATGTTTTCTGTAGCTTAACATTGTTATAACATGTTAAAAATTGTACCTTTATGTTTGCTGCATCTTCTTCACTTATTATGTATTCATTATTTGTCTTGAATAGGGAATGGATGATAGGTTTGAGTGTGTTGTGCATCATGCGGGTGAATTTATTGAGTTTAAGAAATTAGGTTATTAGGGGTTAGAAAATGTTTGGAAATGTGACCCTGATTACTTGAGTTATTTTAAAGTGTTGTGTGGTTTGAAAAATATAGGGTACCTAACAGTGGAGAGCTTGTGGTATCATGATGCAATTGCAATTAATGAGATTATTCCGTTGAAAGATGACATGGGGGAAAATAGGATGAAAATCATTGCAATGGTTAATGGGAATGTGTATTTATGCGTTCTCCATCGACTATTACAACCTGATATAATTGAAAAGCCAATATTTTCACTTGAGTATAATGAAGTAGGATCTAATGAAAAAGAATGTGTTGTATTGGAAAATGAAAAGGTAGACAATGATGTGCAAAAAGATAATTTGGATGAAGTGAGTAATGAAACTGATACGCAAGGTAAGTTGTCCATGGGAGACTTATTGTGAAAAAATACCACAAGAAGAGACTTGACAATTGAGAAAAATAGTTGAGAAGCATACATGTAGTACAAATTATAAGGTTTGGGTCCTTACTTCTAAGTGGTTAAGTAATAAGATACAAACTAATGTAAGGGAAAACCCAAGTCTAAAGTTGACAAATATAATGGAGAAAATTCATCAAAAGTTGAATGTTGGTATAAACAAGACACTTGCATATAGAGTCAAGGCATTAGTTGTGGATATTATGGATGGTTCATTAATTAGGGAGAAATATGCAAGAATTTATGATTATGACCATGAACTGTTAAGGGAAAACCCTGGTTTATATGTCAAAATTACAACTCAACCATTTCAAGGTGGAGAGAAAAGCATTGAACATCCTTAAAGACCATTGAACAGACACTCTCAGAGGATGTATATATTCTTTAAAGTTTGTAGGTATAGTTTTTTTCAAGTGAAGCTCGTTGTAGGATTGGATGGGTGTTTCTTAAAAGGATATTATGGTGGAAAAATACTAGCATCCATTGGGAGGGACCCAAATGATAAAATGTAGCCAATAGCATTTGATGCTGTGAATTATGAAACCAATGATTCATGAAGCTGGTTTTTGGAACTTTTAACAGCTGGCTTGGGAGGTGTCAGGTTATGCAAGACCTACACATTCATAAGTGATCAGCAAAAGGTGTGTTTCATTACTTTTCTGTTTAAAGACTTTTTCTTTTTTAATGTGTTTTCTATTTTATTTAAATCTCTATTTTAACTGAATTACAGGAACTCCTGCCAACACTTGAGAAGTTGCTCCCAGGATTTGACGAAAGATTATGTGTTAGGTAATGTTTTATCTAGAGAAATCCCTCAAGTGTCTTATAGTATTCAATTCAGACCCTTAACTATGTTATAGGTTTCATTTTAGCCTCACTGTATATTATGTGTTACTAAATTTATTGCATTGTGTGTTTGTAGACATTTATACAACAACTTTAGAAAGAAGTTTCCAGGTATCAAATTAAAGAACTAATGTGGAAGGCTGCAACTGCTAATTGTAGAAAATGTTATGCTCGAAATTAAGGATGTTAATGAGGAGGCATTGAAGCACCTTATAAAGATTCCACCAAGGTTTTGGAGCAAATGAAGGTTCAACACAACTCCAAGATGTGACACTTTAGTGAACAATATGTTAGAAGCATTCAACACAGTGTTTGTAAGTGCAAGAGCTAAGCCTATTGTCACTATGCTTGAAGAAATAAAAGTTTATCTTATACTTAGGTGGGAGTCAAATAGGAAGAAGATTTCCATGTATGAAGGTGACATTCTACCAAATATCCAAAGGAGGTAGCAAAGGAATCGCAAAAAACAAACCACTAGATTGTTAGGTAAATGTTCAATTATAAAGCTTTATAACTTATATACTAGTTTACAATTGGATTGTGAGTTAATTTTTGATTTCAACATGTTATACAGGCGTGCATGTGAACATGACTATAAGGTTATGCATATATCGTACAATGGAGAAAAGTACACAGTTAATATGTCAAGAAATGAATGCTCTAGTAGAAGATGGATGCTGACAGGACTGCCATGATGTCATGCAAATTCATGCATGAAGGATCATCAATTAGAAATTGATGATTTTGTGCCTAACTGTTATAAAAAAAGGAATGTTATGAGGCTTGTTATGCACCAGTGCTATATCAAACCAATGGGAAAACTCTGTGGACCAAAACAAAGTTTGTTGATCTCCAGCCACTGCCCATTAAATGATAACCTAGTAGGCCTACAAAGAAAAGGAATAAGGAGGTTGGAAAGATGATTCCCAATTGAACCTGACAAGATTAGAAATCAAATGCAGTTAGTGCCATATGGATGGACACAACAAGGCTACATGCAAACTACCAATGCTACAAGCAGTCCCAAATAAATAAAGACCAGTTGACTCTGCACCTTCAAGTGAGAAAGCACAAGCAGTCCCAAATCAATCAGGATTGTCTGACTCTGCGCCTTCAAGCCAAACAACACAAACAACCCCAAATTAATCAGCACCAGTTGACTCTACAACTTCATGTCATGCAACACCATCACAAGCACCCCAAACTCACCATCTTCCTAAGAATAAAAAAGACTTCAAATGGGAAAAAATAGTTTTAAGCCAACCATAACTATGTTAATCATTTATGTTTCAAGTATTGATTGTAGTAGTGCATTTGAACACCTTATCTAATGCCATTTTTGTTTCTTTTGTAGTGTATGTTAATGACACATTATGTTTCAGTTTGGTATAAGAATGTGTTTCAGTTTAACACTTTATTTGTAATGTTTGTTGATTTTGGTGTAAGAATCTTGGTTTGACATTCTAGTTGAATTCCATAACTATGTACATTTTTTATTTAATAAAATTCTGGTCAAATATCTTGAAATTATGATATTAAAATCACTACATGAACGTCTGATATGAAATTCTGGTCTATTTGATCATAAATGTTGCAAACCAGTTTCACATTAGTCCCTTAACTTTATTCAATATATCAGTTTAGCCTCTTAACTTTATTCAGTGTATCAGTGTAATCTCTTATCATATGTTAAAAGGATTCATTATAGTATCAATGCCAATGTTTTATATGTCTGTTTTTATATCAGAGTTTTATGTCTTGTTTTATACTAGGGTTTTATCCTAATGCCAACGTTTTATCAATGAAATTCCGATATGTTTGATGAAAGAGGTTTTATCACAAATTGTTTGTTAAAAGCATATAATTTGACTCAAAATAAACTCAAATCACAGAATAAACTCAAAATATTCACGACACCAACTTATCTTATACTTAGATTTGCAAAAACTAAAATCACAAAATAAACTAAGTCGATTTGAAATACAATGTTAAAATCATAAGATTCAATCATAAACTCAAAATTCTAACAATCATTGACATTTTCAACCATTCTCTTGTGTAGACAACCTCATCCTTCAATTTCAAAATTTTCTTCATCTTCCTTTCAATCTTCAAATCTCTTTCATAAATAATTTCATCACCTAACCACTTAAAGAAATTACAACCCTTTTCTATGTGACTTATGTAACTTCTACAATCCCATAATTTTCCCCCAAAGTTAACAATGTTCATTTCACTCACATTAAGAAGAACACATTCATCTTGACAAAAACACTCCCTCATCTTGTTTATACGAGTTATAGATCCAATTGTCTCAAAGCTTTGGTTGTTTGACATTAAAACACTGCTCGAGTTCTTTGATATTGGAGAGAAACATAACAACACAAACAAAATAAAAATGAAGTTAATGCAAAAAAAAAAGGAAAATTAATTTTGAAGAAGATGATGAACAAACCCTAGAGAAATAAGCAAAGATGAAAGAGAGCGAATGAATCTGAAACAATATAAATAGAAACCCTACTTTATAATACAAATGTTGAATCAAATTTGTGTTTTAAACCTTGTTGTAAAGCCACGTCAACAGAACTTAACGGTTTTCACAAAATTTAATAAAAATAATCAATCCGATTGACAAAAATGTTTTTAAGTGATTAACGTGTAATATTTTTTAGACAAGAGACAAAAACAAAATATTAGATTAAATTAAAAGACTTTGTGACTAATTATACTAAAGATATTTTATAATATTAATTAATATTTAATTTTTTGATTGAACTATTTATAAAATAACATTTATAAATGATTATAATGCACTGTAACTTTTTTTTTACCATACAAATAATTAATCTCTTAAAAAAATTAAAAGACTTAATCTATTGAAAACATATTTACAAAATAGAAACTTTCTGTTTAATTAACATCATATTTACGATATGAGTTTAAGTCGGCAAAATGATTCGATAACCCCTAAGATAACAGTAGGGTCGTTTGTAGACGATCATTCCCTTCTGTTTCCCCTTCCCGAAGAAAATCGAAAACCTCAAACGAACGATATAAGAATATCACAAAATCAAAGAGGAAGAACAAAAAAGGGTTTCTGAATTTCAATTCTAACCAAATTTCAAATTCCAGTTTCGTAATCACAAAGAAAAAATCCAATGGCTTCCGAGGATATAGTTAAACAAGAATTGGAAGAATTGCAGAAACAATTGGGGAAGAAGCAGAAATTCGAAGACGCTGTTTCATCTCTTAATTATCTGCTCCAAACCACGTATCCATCAGCTTCTACATCTCTCCGTAAATCCGTATGCTCCTTTCATTTCAATTTGAATTTTGTGTGATTAGGTTAATCTTGCCTAAAAGCTGTTATTGTTTGATTTGATGCATAATTTGAAGCTTATAGTTTGACTGTGGTGTTATTGGTGGTGGCAGTTTTATACTGTTATATGCCGAGTTGCTACTGTGTTGAAGACGAGATATACAGCGCCCGGTTTCTGGAGTGCTGGTTTAGGCCTTTTTGAGCAGGCTATATTGTTAGTTTCGGAATCTTCTGAGAAGGAGCACTTGAAGGCTTGCATTGCTCAGGCCAGGGAACATTTGCATCTAGAAGATGACCCTTCGCAAACTTTGCGACCTGCAGAGACTCGTGAAAACAGAGGTGATTTTCTTTTAGTATCTTCGTGTTGATGAGTTTTGTGGTTTCAAAGATTTTAAATAGTTTGTGGTTGCCTTACTGTGATGATCGCGTTTTGTGTTGATTCAGGATATCTTTTTGAGGGGCACCTTACGGTAGATCAAGAGCCACCACATCCTGAATGGTTGGTGCAGGCAAACCTTTTGACAGCAGCGGCTAGACTATTTGAAGCGGAATCCTCTCAAGGTTTAGCAACAAATGAAAATATGGCAGATGATGTCGCTAGTGTGCTTGAAATGCTTAGAAATAGAATGGAAGAAGTTGTGCCACTGGTATATTTCCGAAATCATTCATGTATATTAAATATCAACATGGCTTTTGAATTTCTAGATTCAGTTTCTGTAAGTTCAAGAAAGATGTACTATTAGGCTTAGGCATTGTTTGAAAAACATTAACATACTAAGGGTGATTTGCTTCTCTTTTGTTTTTGAAAAAAAAATTGTTAGATGGAGAATGATGGTCCCGTAGCTCCGAGAGTTCCTCCGGCAAGTAAAGAAGTTGTGGCAAAACTTCCTGTGATTACTCTCACAGAGGATATCCTTGCTAATATGGGGAAAGATGCAGAGTGTGCCATTTGCAGGGAAAATCTGGCATTAAACGACCAAATGCAAGAGTTACCGTGCAAGCACACATTCCACCCACCATGTCTAAAGCCATGGCTGGTATTGTTTCAAACTTCATTTATTTACTAAAAGTTCTGTTTTACTGTTTTAATATCAACCTTTTTGCAATTGATATTATGGAGAGATGTGGAAGAAATGATATTGTTAACTAAAAAGTTTGTTCAATTTTTTTGTCCTTTGCGTTGCAGGATGAGCACAATTCTTGTCCAATCTGTCGTCATGAGCTGCAAACTGATGATCATGCATATGAGAGCTGGAAGGAACGTGAAAAGGAAGCCGAAGAGGAGAGGAAAGGCGCTGCAAACGCTCTTAGAGGTGGTGAATTCATGTATGTTTAGATTGGTGAATAGTTGTGTATTCTTCATTAATTGAAACTATAGATTTCTTCACAAGTTTCTAGGACAACCTTTATATGACAGCTGTTGCTTGAAAATAAAAATTTCACTTAATTCCAAACAATGTGAGAGAATTGATTCACGTGTTCCATTTTATCACAAACAAAGTTCATAGTTTTCTGAACATATGTTGAAGGGTTCATAAAATGCACTCAATTAGCCATTCAGGCTACAAATATTCACATAAAGTCGAGGGAAAAAATGCAATACCATAATCACTAACCCATCGATTGGAAATGGTGAACGTGACAACAAACTTGGGGAATTTTTTGGAAATATCGAAACTGTTTTCTTGTATTTTACTATGATACAAGACATATCAGAATTTTGCTAAATAAACGTGTTAAATAAAGTCAGAGAAAAGATTTAAGACAACTTTGCCATCAAATTTGATTACAAATTAGTTGGATAAGAAAATTCAAATATGAGGTTAATGACGCATTAACTACGACATTGAAGATTATTTACTAAGATTTTCCAGATTTCAAATATAAAAAAATATCTATTAATCGTTCTACTTAATTGATTATTATTATTATTTTCTATTATAAAGAGGGTCGAAGTCTAATAGAAAATTTTTACAAAGGTTTTACAGTGTGAACACCCCCAAAAATATCATTATTGATCAAGTATATCAAATCTTCGGGACAAACTTCAAAAAATTGAGGTTGGGGTCGTGAAGAGAACTTATTTTAGTCATAGAATATGCACATTGATTAGCCTTTTAATAGATATGAGTGAAACGAACAACAATATCGTTCAAGAGCAATTGAGTTATTTTGTTCAGCAGTTTCTTTGCTGCTTCGATATGATTCATCTTACTATTGAGCCTCGCAATACTTGTTGGCTGATTGAAGTTTAATACTTGTGTCCTTTATCAACCGCAAAATTGATGATCTCTAACACTGCCTACAATTCTGCCACCTCGATACTGCATATGCCAATAAATTTCGAGAATCCTCTGCACCAGCTGCCCGAGGAAGCCCTCCACAAGTTGCCCTTGAATGCTTGTTCACTGCCCCATCCACATTGACACCAATCTACCCTTCAGAAGGCGAATTCCATCTAATATTATTCACAGTCTACAACTTCACGTTTATTCCTTGATAAAGGTCCACACTAACAAAATACTCATTTACCTAGTCCATAATCAGCTGCGCTAGATTGTTGGGCATAATGAACTCCTCGTCGTGAATCCTCTTGTTCCTCCAATTTCATAGCATACGACAAGTTGTCACCCAAACCTCTCCCCCAATTAGTTCCATTATTAGAACATTAGTTGTTTGCTAGATTATTCGTGATCCGCAACTGCAAGTTAATCTCAAAGAAATCAGTCCAGTGTTCCTCGCTTATCAAACGCAACCACACAGTCTCGGCCTCTCCACAGTCACTCAACACATAAATAATGTCCTCAATTGTGTTTTGACAGTCGTTGCACCACGATTCACATAAGTTGAGTCTATGAAGGAACTCATTTGTTAGCAGCCTGCCATGGTTAAGCATCCAAACTAATGATTTTTGTCTATCTGTAATTATGAGTTTCCAAATATGATTCCAGTTTGGGGCAGACCCAATCTCTTGATGATAAGCAGATATAAGACTATACGCACTAGAAATAGAAAAAACACCAATATTGGTTTCTTTCCACAAGCAAACATCTTTACCATAATCTTCCTTGGGTGGGCGAATAACAGAAATTTCAGCAATGATATCTTTGTTAAAAAGTGTATTGAGTAGTTCAAAATTCCACTATTGATTATCATCCACTAAATCTGCTACTTTCTCCACCTGCACCATATTGTTGCCAACTGTCATATGATGCTGAATTACACCTATTTTGATCTAACAATCATCCCAAATGTTAACTCGCAAGTAACTCCCTATATTCCACACTATCAAAGCTTTTAGTTAGGGACACAGCTTGACAATGTTTTTCAAAAGACTGGAATCTTGCTGTTTAGCATTGAGAGTAACTAGATTGTCATTTCCTCTGTCATACTTATTTCGAACCACTTGACACCACAAACTATTATCTCATGTCATCAATTTCCACCCTAGTTAGAGAGACACACTTTATTCATATGAACTAAGTTTCTGAATCCTAACCCTCATGTGCGTTTTGGCTGCATAAAAGTGTCCCACTTAATCGCGTGAATATGCTTTTGCCCATTCTTATCTCCCTAAATAAAGTCTCTTTGAAGCTTATGGATCTCCTTGACGCACTCCTTCGATAAGGCACGCATCATCATTGTATATGTTAGGATTACTTCGATGATCGTCATTGTCAATGTCGTCCTACCTGCAAAAGATAAAAGTTGAGTTTTCCAACTCATTAGTTTATTCTTAATGTTCTATATGATATGCTTGAAGTCTTTTTGTTTTGGGTTTCTCCCGGTAAGAGGAACCCCAAGGTAGTTCCCCAACTCTTTGGTCTCTTTATACCCAGACATACGAATGAGTTCTCTTCTCGTATGTATAGGCGTATTACGAGAGAAGAGGACATATGTATTATCCTTGCTCATTCGCTGGCCAAAGATGCTACAAAAATTATCTAAGACCTCTTGGACGCATATTATTTGCCTCTATGTTGCCTTCCCTAATCAGAGCAGATCAATCTGCGAACATCAAATGTGAAATATATGGACACTTCTTGCCTACCTTGATTCCTTTCCATTGCCCACTCTTTACAAATTCCATTATCATATGTGACACCTTATCCATACAGAGAACAAAAAGATAGGGCAAAAATGGATCTCCCTGTCTTAATCCTTTAGTTAAAGTAGTCATTTTCATTCGCGTTCCACCTGATACCCATAGACACTGTCCTGATAGCATACATGACGACTCGAATTAAGTTATTAGGGATTCTAATCTCCATAAGCACACTATGCACAAAGTCCCAACCTAAGTTATCGTATTCCTTAGCCAAATCAACCTTAATCACAAAGTGGCATTCCTTTCCTTGCCTTCTATGCATGCTATGAATTAATTCTTGGGCAAGCATTATATTCTCATGGTCACTTCTCCCTAGAATAAATCTGGTTTGGAAAGGCCCTACCACTTCATTGATACACACTTTAAGTCTATTTACTATCATCTTGCTCTTACACTTGTAGATCAAATTGCACAAAGAAATGGGGAAAATTGATGAACATGGATATGTTTAGGAATTTTGGGAATCAAGCAAATCGGTTTGGTTTACCTCTTTGATGCACTCAAGTGTGTCCCACAAATTTTTAACAACTATGCAAATTATTTATCCAACACATGACCAAGACTTTTGGTAAAGCCTATCGGAAAGCCATATGGCCAGGAGCCTTCCAAGGGGCCATATCGAGAACAACTTGTCTAACTTTTTCATCTTTGACTGATTCAATTAAGCTTTGCACCACCTATGGATTAATCTTGGGGAATTTGTGTTCATTTTCTTGCCATTGTCCAGTCTGTAAATTCTCCAGCACATGTTCCTACAAAATCTTGATAATGACCCTCTAAGATATTAGAGTTTGGCCTAACACTACCCTACAAAACCGGTTGGTAAGATGAGAGGTGTCACTTTATATAAACTATTTCAATGCTCTATCTCCAACCAATGTGAGACTTTAGGATCTTCCTAATACACCCCCTTACACCCAGCACTCTTTTTGGGCTTGGTGCGTGGATTTAAACAGTGGGCTGGATATCAAAGAAATGGGGAAAAATTGATGAACATGGATATGCTTAGGAATTTTGGGAATCAAGCAAATATCGGTTTGGTTTACCTCTTTGATGCACTCAAGTGTGTCCCACAAATTTTTAACAACTATGCAAATTATTTATCCAACACATGACCAAGACTTTTGGTAAAGCCTATCGGAAATCCATCTGGCCAGGAGCCTTCCAAGGGGCCATATCGAGAACAACTTGTCTAACTTTTTCATCTTTGACTGATTCAGTTAAGCTTTGCACCACCTATGGATTAATCTTGGGGAATTTGTGTTTAGTTTCTTGCCATTGTCTAGTCTGTAAATTCTCCAGCACATGTTCCTACGAAATCTTGATAATGACCCTCTAAGATATTAGAGTTTGGCCTAACACTACCCTACAAAACCGGTTAGTAAGATGAGGGGTGCCACTCTATATAAACTATTTCAATGCTCTATCTCCAACCAATGTGGGACTTTAGGATCTTCCTAATACACTCCCTCACGCCTAACACTCTTTTTGGGCTTGGTGCGTGATTTAAACAGTGGGTCGCCCAAGGTCCGATCGATAGGCTCTGATACCATATTAGAGTTTGGCCTAACACTACCCTACAAAACCGGTTGGTAAGGTGAGGGGTGTCACTCTATATAAACTATTTCAATGCTCTATCTCCAACCAATGTGGGACTTTAGGATCTTCCTAATATAAGAGACAAACACTTTCAAAACAAAATCTCCAATCTCTTTTAGTCATATTCGAGTCCTGCAGGCTAACGACGATAGAATGATGGTTGGAAAAGTCAATGCGGGGCAACACTTTGAAAAAACCATGTGGAAATCTTAATCTCCACGATTCGTTGCAGAAGGGTCAATCCAGACGCTCATTAATTTTACCTCTGCAAGTAAAACGATGTCCCACAAACTCCAAATCCATTAGATTACACAAATATATTCTCTCCATAAAGACCGCGCAATTCCTATGGGAATTAGGGATTCCTCTTTTTTTTTTCTCCGAGACATGTTGAAGTCACCAGTAACAAGCTACCCCTGTTGAATTTGTCTAGAGACCATACTCAATTCTTCTCACAACTCTTCACGCCCTTCATACCTAGGACTTGCATGCACTAGTGTGAAGAAAAACTCTTCTCCTTCTTCGAAATTGAGTTTCAAATGCAAAAATTGGAAGTGAATTCTCAGAACCTCTACATTCTCTTTACCAAATTTCCAAGCCATTGCAATTCCACCAGAGAAACCCCTTAT